TGAAACTGTTCTTAACCTGAGGTACCACTTTAGCTAATAGGGCCTCTTGCTGCTGCCATGCGATTTCTGTTCTCATCCTGAGGTAAAGTTCTTAACCCGAGGTACTATTTCTGGGTTAGCAGAGTCTGTAACCCAAAGTGTTTGTCACGTGAGGTGTTTGTAACCCGAGGTACCACTGTATTCTCCACCCAGAGTGGCTGGGGAAACCCAGCCAGATGGGTAGAGTATAAATGATAAAGTTTTATTTATTTGTTTTATTGATGATGATGATGATGATGATGATGATGATGATGATGGACTGCCTGGTGACCACCTCTGGGGAAGGGCAGTCCAGATATAGATATACCGTATTTTTTGCTCTAGAAGACTCACTTTTTCCCTCCTAAAAAGTAAGGGGAAATGTGTGTGCGTCTTATGGAGCGAATGCAGGCTGCACGGCTATCACAGAAGCCAGAACAGCAAGAGGGATTGCTGCTTTCTGGCTTCTGGGATTCAGAATTTTTTTTCTTCTTGTTTTCCTCCTCCAAAAACTAGGTGCGTCTTGTGGTCTGGTGCGTCTTATAGAGCGAAAAATACGGTAGATACAGTGGTACCTCAGGTTACATACTCTTCAGGTTACAGACTCCGCTAACCCAGAAATAGTGCTTCGGGTTAAGAACTTTGCTTCAGGATGAGAACAGAAATCGGGCTCCGGCAGCGCAGCAGCAGGAGGCCCCATTAGCTAAAGTGGTGCTTCAGGTTAAGAACAGTTTCAGGTTAAGAAAGGACCTCCAGAACAAATTAAGTACTTAACCCGAGGTACCACTGTATAGAGATAGAGATATATGGAAAACCACCACAAAACAATCAGCAGCAGCACACTTAGTATGCATTGCGTAGTTTCCACCCCCGTCCACCCCTTCAAAATAAAGATTTATTGTACTTCTACAAACCTCAGGGTTCCCCCGGGTCTCCAACTGACACCCCCTTTGCGCTTGGGTGGTGTCGTTTTGGCTGTGCAAGCCACGGCCCTCACTGGCTGGTGTCATTCAGACAGGGAAGGTGGGATGCTGGGAGCCCACACAGGATGTGCAGCTGCAGCCAATGGCAGGCTGAGCCAAGGAATCCTGGCTTTGCCCCAATCCTCCTCCCTGCTGAGGTCCAGAGGGAGGAGGAAGCTGGCAGGCAGTTTCATTCACCCCCTTGGTTGTAGGTGACGCGGACTTAAAGAGGACTTGAGGTTGGTGGGACAGTGACCCGTTTGACCTCCACCAGCCTGAACACTGGATGCAGATGGCCGGAGGGAACTTGTGCACGCAGAAAAGACACTGCAACGAATTTCAGTTACTGGGAAGCAACACTTGTGGCAGCGCTCCTGCCCCCTTGCCCTATGTTGCATCCTTTCCCAAAGGCATCCAACTGTCCAGTGCAAGAACCATTGGGGGACAGAGCCTGATACAGCAAGGAACGCACAAAGCTTCTATTGAGTCTGACCAGCTTAGTGTCGTCTACTCTGACTGGCAGAAGCTCCCCAGGATCTCCCCAGCCCTGCCGGAAGTGTCAGAAATTGAACTCGCAACCTTGAGCCAAGAATGTGCTCTGCGATGGATCCCCAACCCTTCTCTGAGATTCTTGTCGTTTGGCTACTTAAATACTGTTTGCAACACGGACGTGTCCCCTTTTACCCCAAATCAATCCATCTCAAAGAATGACTGCTCTCTGCCTCTGCACAGACAGAGCCAACTAAGTTTTACCCTGAAATGAATGCACCCAAAGTTGCTCTTCACTATTCATATTATTCATGTTACTTCCCTGCCAATATCTTCAGATTTATGCTAAACGCCAAATGGCACCTTAAACCTAGGTTAGGATCGCCACCACAGAATGTATAAGCACCATCTTCTTTCCGCATGAAATTGCCAGTATTAGCATTCATTTTATTTCTATAGCGCTTTATGCTTTAAAGACAAAATCTCAAAGCAGTTTACAACACATTAAAAGCATCAAATGAAACCACCCAGAATAAAACAAATTCAAGTTTCCAAGGAAATATTTCAGATCCTTCTCTAAATGACATTTTGCTTTCCCCATATTTATTTACCTGCTTAATTTATATAGTTGCCCATAGTGGAAGTACTCTAGGAAGCCAGTGTCGTGTAGTGGTTAGAGTGTCAAACTAGGACCTGGAAGGGTGACCTCAGACAGGTGAACTAATGCCAGTGTACTGGAAGAAGCAAAGATCACCAGTGTCGAAGCAATCATTCTTCAACATCAACTTCGTTGGACTGGTCATGTTGTGGGGATGCCTGATTATCGTCTTCCAAAGCAACTACAGTGGTACCTCGGGTTACATAAGCTTCAGGTTACAGACGCTTCACTCTGCTAACCCAGAAATAGTACCTCGGGTTAAGAACTTTGCTTCAGGATGAGAACAGAAATCGAGCAGCGGTGGCACAGCAGCAGCAGGAGGCCCCATTAGCTAAAGTGGTGCTTCAGGTTAAGAACAGTTTCAGGTTAAGAACAGACCTCCAGAACGAATTAAGTACTTAACCCGAGGTACCACTGTATTCCAAACTTAAAAATGGAAAGCGTAATACTGGTTGTCAACAAAAGAGGTTTAAAGACTGTCTCAAGGCAAATCTAAAAAACTGTAGTATAAACACTGACAACTGGGAAACACTTGCCTGCGAGCACTCCAGTTGGAGAACAGCCTTTACCAAAGGTGCCGTGGGCTTTGAAGACACTCGAACTCAGAACGCAAGGGAAAAACGTGCTAAGAGGAAGGCACGCTTGGCAAATCCACACTGTGATCAACTCCCGCCCGGAAACCAATGTCCCCACTGTGGAAGGACATGTGGATCCAGAAGTGGCCTCCACAGTCACTTACGGACTCACTGTTAAAACCGTGTTTATGGAAGACAATCTTACTCGGCTATGAGTGATCACCAAAGAAAGGAGAAGAGAGTGTCAAACTAGGACCCAGGAAGGTGACCTCAGTGGGTGACCTTGGTCCCGTCACAGCCTCTTAACCTACCTCAAGGGGTCATTTTAGGGATTAACCAAGATTTGGGGGGGGTGAATCATGTACTCCTTGGAGAAAAAGGTGGAATATAAACTAAGCTACTCTGCTTGCCTGCTTAAGAAAACTGGAGGGACCAGCCAGATGGAGATGCCCGTTGCCAGCCTGGCATCCACAGATCTCCATGCAGTTGCAATTGGACCCGTGCCAGTTGCAAAACGTGCCTGGCGAATTTCGAACACTGAGTATGACAAACGTTGGATACAAGCCAATATCCACACTGGCGGTTTGAACCCCCTTTTGAGCCATGTGGGGCTTCTGGCTACTGCTGCTGCTGCCTCATTAAACATGGTATTACAGGACAAGGTGGTTTAAAAACATCAGCAATCTGCCTTGTTGTGACGAACCCCAACCCTGTTAATAAAAATAATAATGCTTGTCTGTATGCACAGTGCTCTTCCTAAGCACTCAAGAGTGCTCTCCCTGAATAATCACCATAATAAATCTCTAGCATTGCAACCCTGGTGCATTATAGTAATAGTCTTGATTTCTAAACTTAAGTCCACGGTTGCTGTTATTAAAACACCAAGGAATAATCTGTCGCTGTTAGAATCCTGGCATTTCTCGGATGCCCAAACCTAAAGAGAGCCACTTCTTTTCCCCTGCGTGGAACCAGAGAGAAAGGTTAAGAGCTGTTCAGCCATCTGCAAGCAGCAGGAAAGCTCAAAACCCACCTGCCTTTCGAAAAGCAGCTGGCGTCACGGCTGAAAAATGGGAAATGAAGGGCAACTTTGCACATGCTGGAGTTTCAGGCCCCTGGCCGTAAAGCCTCTTGGTCAGAAAAGCCAGGTGAAAGGGGTGGGGAAGAGGGAAATCAATCAAAGGGTGGAATCTGATCTCGTTTTTTACAAGATGCACATTGTGGGAAACACAGATCAGAAATGACACCACGTCTCAGATAAAAGGTACTGGAAACCTGTTTTTCCCTAATCCCAGAAAACCGGTGGGGGAGGGCAGGGGGAAGAGAACCTAGCTGGGGTTGCCTTGGGATGTTTCACAGGTAATAAAATAATAATAATAATAATAATGAACCCTTCCATACAGAAAGCAGTCACATCCACAAACGAGTGCGCAATCTCTGAATCATCTGTGGTTAGATGTAAATATATATCTGTACATTATTGCCAGCAGCGATTTCAGTATGTATTACTACATTTCTCTCCCACCTTTTCTTCAAGGCTGCGAACGTGGTTCTCCTTGCTCCATGTCATCCGTACAACAACCCTGAGAGGTAGGTGGACTCAAACCCTGGTTCCCCAAGTCCAAGACCAACACTCTAACCACTCCAACACACCGGCTCTCTTTGTGCAAATCCCCCAACGACATGAACAGGTGCAGCCCAGAGCCTAGTCCCACACTCTAACCACTACACCACACTGCCGACTCTCTTCCGAAAGAGCTCAAGAGCAGTGTACAACTGAAGGCGGGGGAACATATTATACATGTGCGAGTCACTGCGCATTCAGCGGTGCACACAATTGCGGGTAGGACGAGTTGGGTTGCATGCTAATTGCCACACAAAAGCGCAGCCCATTCGCGATGTCTGCCGCAGCCCTTAACGGTGAGGGAAAGGCACTCTGTCCATGATCAGGGACACTCTCTTCTCCGCACGTTCCAAGGGTTAAACCGGACGCCGAGGAGCTTCTGTTGCTAAGAGATGGGGAGCCCCAACGCAGCCTAAGCTCAAGACTCCAGAGGACACCCCGCTACGCCCCGAATCCACTTCTCTTGACACGTATGTATACAAAGCAAGCAGGCGGCAGGTGATAATGGCTTGAAGCCAAGCCCAGACCAGGAACTAGGAAGAAGCCCCCGTTTGTTTTCATTGCTTTATGGACTCCTCCTGCCTCGCCCGGGTTCGTCTCACTTTCAACGCTGGCTCAAGGTTACAAAAGGAAGGAAAAGGAAAAGGCGCACGGGAGTGGAGAGGTTGGGGGGTTACCTTTTCTGGGTTCTCCTCTTCAAACTCAAACAGCGCTTAAATCCACCGGTTACAGAACCGGGTAAAATGCGGCGGAAAGAAAAGAGAGAATTAACTCCGCAAAGACAGAAAGATAGAAATTCCAGCTCCGGAGCTCACTTGGCAAGAGGAATAATCCAGCCGGGAACCAGGGCGCAGAGAGAAGGCGCGTCTGCCGTGCGCAAAAGCGCGAGCCGGAGCCTTGCAACTGGCGAGGGGAAAAGAGTCCTGCTCCGAAGTTGCACAGCCAGTTGCTCCCGGCTGATCTCATCCAGCCCGATTTGCATAGCTCGCTCTCTCTCTCTTCCCCTCCCCGCCTTGGCCGTCCTTGGCGGGGCGGGGACTCGGCTGCTGCCCGCGGCCGGCTGGCGCAGGAGGCGTTGCAACGCGCGCGCTTCCCTCCCTCCCTCCTCTTTTCTTTCCTTTCTTTTACACCCACCTCTCCAGCCCGGCCCCCTCTCGCTTCGCATCGCCAGCGCGCCAGCCTCTCTGAAATTAACTCACGCCTTTTTTGCTCAGCTGTTGGCCAGTTTCTTTCTTCTCTCTCTCCCAAGAGAGGCCCCCCTCGCCTAGTTTGGTGGCGCTTGGATTGCGCCTGCAAGGGAGATGAGGGAGAGAGAAGGGGGGTGGAGGCAGCGGCGGCTCCTCCTGGGCTGCTGTACCCCAAGGCGAAGCTGAGCTCCGAAAGTCGCCGGGCAAAGGTCTCTCCTCCCTCCGGCTTTTTGTCTGGACAGAAAAGGGCAACCTGGGAAGGATCTCTCTGTGGTTTCTTTGTGAGAGATAAGATAAAGCCAAGTGTTCTTAAAGCGCCACTTCTCCAGCCTGCTCAGGAGGGAGAGGAAAGTTTCTCTGCAGCAATCAGTGTTCCAGATCTTTTCTTTTATTGTAGCTGTTTGCTATGCCATGGCATGCGTGGCGCTGTAAAAATAATTTAAAAAATACAATAGTGGAGATCTTTATAGAATTGTAGAGTCGGAAGGGATCCCCCAGGGTCCTGTAGCCCAACCCTCTATTATGCAGAAATAAATCTAGAATTTGAGACGGTGGGAAACGGAGGAAGAAAATGAAAACACGGGCAGAGATAAACAGTGGGAAAAAACATGTATGTGTGTGGTTGTTTAAACTACAGGTGATTTGTTGTGGGATCATTATTATTTAGTAATGTGTAATGAACTTGGTATAATAGAATGATAGTTATTTCCTTTGAGTAAACAACACTGTCCTTCCTCCAAGGAGCTCAGGCTACCCCAATTTTATCCTCACAACCATCTTTTGAGGCAGGCTAGGCTGAGGGGGACACGGGTGGCGCTGTGGTCTAAACCACAGAGCCTAGGGCTTGCCAATCAATTCGAATCCCCGCAACGGGGTGAGCTCCCATTGCTCGGTCCCTGCTCCTGCCAACCTAGCAGTTCGAAAGCACGTCAAAGTGCAAGTAGATAAATAGGTACCGCTGTGGCAGGAAGGTAAACGGCGTTTCCTCGCACTGCTCTGGTTTGCCAGAAGCGGCTTAGTCATGCTGGCCACATGACCCGGAAGCTGTCTGTGGACAAACGCCGGCTCCCTCGGCCTATAGAGCGAGATGAGTGGACAACCCCAGAGTCGTCCGCGACTTGACCTAATGGTCAGGGGTACCTTTGCCTTTATCTTTTTAGGCTGAGGGAGAGTGGCAGCTCAAGGTCACTCATCAAGATCCTGAAGAACTGTGACACCACAGCGGCTCTCGCTTTCTAACATGGCACAACAGTGTGCAGAGGTGGCACTTACCAGCCTCCCCCCCCAAAAAAAAAATATTTTATTCAAGTTGGCACCCCTGACAGTGTGGGGTAAGTTTAAAGAGGGAGGGGGAACAGCAGGTATCAGCAGCGAACCTTGCTGGTGGGTCAAGAGGAGAACCCACAAGTTCCCACAGGTGCCCCATCCTTGCACAGCTGGCTTGCAACCTGATCTAAGGTAGGTTGCAATAGCAACATTATCACCATGCAAATATATGGAGGAGGAGGAAGAAGACGAAGAAGGTCCCCAAATGGATCACAGTAGGTTGGATCTGAAAAAGTGAAGATTACTGAGCAGGGAAGAGTGAGAAGAGTTCTCAATATCACACCACCAGGATTTGTTTTGAGAAAGATATGTGACACTATAGAGGCTACCCAAGGTATTTGATGGTGTCCTCAACTTTCCTAGACATTGCAGCGGTGTGTGTGTGTGTTGTGAATCATGCCATTATCAAACCCAGGATTTCCTGGCTTCAGGAATGACTTAGATCCTGCGTCTGTGCTGCCTGTGGGATTTCCACAACGCATCTCCTCTCTCCAGACTGGAAATTACAGAATTGCTGAGAGTGAAAGCTAAGCTGGCACAAGGGCAGAGTGTGACAATAGAAAACCTTTTCCCAGCAGCAAAGGTTTCCCCTTTGATTATGGACGAGCCAGAATGAGAAACTGATTAATACACGTGGACTTGACTTATTTCATTTTATGTAGGGGGGGGAGGGACATTTTGCAGAATTTAGGAGCCAGCCAGGTTTTCCAAGGAAAACCTGCAGAGGAGACCCAAATGCCAGGTCATGGAAGGTTCCTGCTCTTAATTGGTGGGTGCTGATCTCCTCCCCCTCTTCACCTCCATATTCTCACATATTACGACCAGAAGGGTAGCTGCGTGCATCTGTTACAACAAAACACACACACACACACCAGAGGAGAGAGAGGGAGAAAGGGCTGTGGCGTCTTAAAAACGAACAGATTTATTGTGACAGATGCTTTCGCACATCAGATGAAGTGGGATCTAGTCTACAAACGTTTATGCCTTAATAAATCTGTAAGTCTATAAGGTGCCACAGAACTTTCTCCCCTATGCGCGGTTGCAATTAAGTCACATCTAGCCCTAGCACTGAGAGAGGTTCTACAGATGGGGCCCAAGAAGCCCTGGTTCAAATTAGGGAAGAGGGTTTTAAAAATCTATCACTCTATGGGTGCTTCCATGGGTGCTTAATGAGCATGCATCCTGATTAGTTGGCAGAGATGTTGGCTGCAGCAGGCAATGCATTCCTTGGCATTTCTTGGAGGCAGGAACTGCTGCCCCTGCAGATCCTGCTGCCCGAGGCAGTCACCTGACCTTGCCTCATGGCTGGGCTGGCCCTGAAGACCGGTATACATTGGGGGGAATAGAACCCTTTGGCTCACAATTTGGATAGCCATAATAGAGAGATCCTCATAATGCAGCGAGAGATACCCAAATGCCCTTGACTGCACCATTGGTATCTGACCTTGACATAAGAACATGAGAAGAGCTTTCTGAATCAGGCCAGAGACCCATCTATCTAGTTCAGCATCCTGTGAGAAGCCAGCAAGCTGAGCCTGAGCCCAAGAGCCGTCTTCCCCTCTGGCATTCAGAAACTAGGACTGCCATATGTCCAGATTTCCCCGGACATTACTGGGATTTCAAAGGTGCAATTGACGTCCAGGGTAATTTCTGAAAGGCGGTGCTTTGTCTTGGATCTTAGAGGCAAGTCAATCGATAAAACACAGATTTGGGGGGGGCATTTTTGTAAAAATAACTTTCAGGGTGTCCTCGTTTTTACTTTTTGATACAGTGGTACCTCGGGTTAAGTACTTAATTCGTTCTGGAGGTCTGTTCTTAACCTGAAACTGTTCTTAACCTGAGGTACCACTTTAACTAATGGGGCCTCCTGCTGCCGCCGCACGATTTCTGTTCTCATCCTGAGGTAAAGTTCTTAACCCGAGGTACTGTTTCTGGGTTATTGGAGTCTGTAACCTGAAGCGTCTGTAAGCCAAGGTACCACTGTATTTGGGCATCCTACAGAAGCTCACTGCCTCTAGCGTAACCATCATGGCTGTTAGTCATCGATAGCCTTTGCCTCCATGATGTTATCTAATCTTCTTCTAAGAACTTATGAAGAGCCTGACATACAGATGATCTCAGTAAGAGGGACCAACAGAATGACTTACTATGGCACAAGGCCTCCCTAATGGGAATTGAGGTAGTCTTATTTTGCTCGCTGGATGCTTTTACTGTTGTTTTTTTTTACCGCTGACTATTTATTGCATTTTATGACAACTTGAGATGTATGATCTATTGATTATTTTTACGATTCTGTTTGCATGGTTTTATGCTGCCAGTTGCTTTGAGAGCTCTTATGGGGCGGAAAGGGAGGTTTCTTCCAGGACGCTCCAGGAATTTCTAGTAAGGAATGCTAGTACAGTGGTACCTCGGGTTAAGAACTTAATTTGTTCCGGAGGTCCGTTCTTAACCTGAAACTGTTCTTAACCTGAGGTACCACTTTAGCTAATGGGGCCTTCCGCTGCTGCCGCCGCGCAATTTCTGTTCTCATCCTGAGGCAAAGTTCTTAACCTGAGGTACTATTTCTGGGTTAGTGGAGTCTGTAACCTGAGGTACCACTGTACCGCATAAAGGCAGGGAGCGGTTTGTGTCTCCGAATACCCAGTAACTGTTTGCTGTTTGCTGTCCACTTCAAAGCCTGCCCCAATGTGCGCAGGGTTCAGAGCACTCAGGACACTTCCATAGAACCAGTTTATCTGAGGATTCACCCTGATCTCTTTGCACAAAGTTTGCAGGAGCTTAGACAGCACTGGTTATTTACTGGACATTTGCCGTGACAGCTTTGCAGGGAGGTTATAGGATGATGTGTCGAGCAATTGCCATCCCATGTAATAATAATCATGGAATCATAGGACTGTAGAGCTGGAAAGGACCCTGGGGGTCATCTAGTGCAACTGCCTGCAATGCAGGAATATGCAGCTGTCCCATACAGGGATCGAACCTGCAACCTTGGAGTTATCAGCACCAATTCTAACTAACTGAGCTATCCAGCCCGTCTGATTGGGTTGCCCCAGCCATTCTGCATAGCTTCCAACAGAATTTACAAAAACACACCAGAACATCAAATATTAAAAACCTCTGGTGCATTTTGCCATTACTTTCTCTATTGCAAAAAGTTCAGTCGGGGGGGGGGGGGCAGAACGGGTTTGTTGTGCAAGGCAGAGCACCCAAAATCCACTTTAATTGCACTGCCTGAAGTTGCATCTGGTTGGCTACTGTGCGAACAGGATGGTGGACTAGATGGGGCCTGATCCAGCCGGCTCTTCTTATGTGCTTTTGCTGGTATGCTTGGGTAAATTCCTCAAGATTTGGGTAAGACGAAGTGAGCAGTTAGCGTTTCAGCAAGGTCTGTGCTTTTCTCTGCCACTCAGCTACTCTTAAATTAAAGATCAGGCGAGAGAGAGGTCCTGTCTGCACAGATCTCCTGTGTCATGTCTAATTTGGCCCTTTAAAAACCGGAAAAGATTTGGAGGAGAGCAACATGATGATTGCTGGTTTGGAATGCATGATTAACACCGGAGGAAAAGCTG